GTTCGAACCCACTGGCAGCTCCACAGAAAAAAGATATGGCAGTCTGCTTTTGTAAAGATTTACAGTTTGAAAACCCTGTGGGGCAGTTCTATTCTGTCCTAAAGGGTCACTATGAATTTGAATCGACTCAACAGCAATGGGTTTGCTTTTTGGGTTTAATATGCTAAGGAAGAAAGGAACAAATTTTGAAATATAAGTAATGAGGAAAGGTTTGTAAAGGCAGGGTGTCAAAAGGAATAATTAAAAAAGCACTAGAGGCTTGAAAGTCCAGTTAAGATTATGCAACATATCATGACTCATACTTGGGAAAAAAAAATGCTGGAGTAGCTGAGGGCTATTGACTGCCATGCTGGGCATAGCAGAAGGTTAAATGTTTAGAATAGTGCGTGGCACACTCACACACAAAAAGCTTCCAAATAGCGAACCAATGAAAAGGAGACAAGAAATTCTAGCAAATTAGCAAGGATAGCTAATTCCAGCAAATTAGCAAGGACTTTCAGGTAGGGACTGTGTTCTATAATTCTCTTGCATCTTTTATTTTGACTATCATAGTGCTAAACATATGATACAGACTCATGAGAAGAAAGCCTTTATTAACATTTCAATAAGAAATATATACAAAGACAATACAAATAAATTTTAGGGAAATAACTAATTTTCTGTAAGAACCCAACACTTAGTTAATATGAAATTTTCAGACAACATACTATATAGACAGATTTCAAAAAGTAAGTTAATTTCAATTGTTTGTTCAATATATAAGTTCTATAAAAATTTACCTGGATTCTTCTAAAGGATGCTGGACAGTAAGAAGTCGAGGGTGACGTAGCCGAGTTAACTGCTGGACTCCTCGTTTTAGAGAATCAATGATTTGATCTTTTTCAAATTTTTGGTATTTATCAATCAGCTTTTTATCAAAGACAAAAACAGCCACTTCCTAGTAAAAGAATTATATAACAAGTTTTAATGAATATATATATATATATGAAAGTAATACAATAATATTTGAGTGTCACAAGAGTCTACAAATAAAAATAACTAAAAACTAATGCCATGAAAATTTTAGCACCAATCTAACAGTTTTCTGTCGAAAAGTTGGTTTCTTCATGATTAATAAATCTAAGTATTTTTAAATACACAAGATCAGAAGCCACTCATCTAAGGAAAACAAAACCCCCATCTTTGAACTCTGATTTCAGAGATACATAAAGTGTGTATAATGTGTTGTCCTCTAAATAGTACTTTCTTATTTAACAAGAATCCAGATAAAAGTTAAAGTGCTTAAAAATTCCAAATGCTATTCATAGTGATAACCCTGAAATACAGTATAAAATCCTGAAATGTTTTTTGAAAGAAAAGTTGTACGCTAGGGAGTACTTGTTTACAGAAAAATTTATTTGTATGCATCTTCACATATGATTAAATTACACTAATCTATATGCTTTCTCATTCCACCTCATCCCTCATCTTGTTACAGGCAGTAACTGAGAATGGTATCAGTACAGGAAGTTGCCCCCCTCTGCCTCTCTTGGATATCATTCACAGCTTACTTTATACTACTCAAAACATACATCTTTTTTGACCATCTTCTTCCTTTAATTCTCTCTCATTTCCCCAAGGAAAAAGAGTTTTCATGAAGTTCCATCTTAATCAGTCAAAGTATAGCCATATTGGTAGCTAATACATATATATATAAAAAAAAATGTATCAGTGATGCTAAAACTCCCTAACATGAAGAAAACTGATAAAGTCAGAAATTAGCAAAGAATCAATGCCGTTGTTGTTCTCAGGTGTCATCGAGTAGGTTCCAACTCATAGTGACCCTACGTACAAAAGAATGAAACACTGCCTGGTCCTGC